AAAGAATACAAAATTCACAGATTCTGGTGAGCTGAGATGGAAATTATAGGTCAGAAAATCTGCTGCAGTTAGGATATGGGCTCAATAGATAATGGGCAAATGCCTGCTATCAGAGATAATTTTTTCTACATCGTTGGTGTAAAGTGGGAGTGCAGACAGAAAATGATCCATTAGCCCAACGGCACACATTTTAGGCTTTTAGGGATCTCTTCAATACATATAAATGGAGTGAGAAAAACTGAAGAGAGCATATGCATTCAAGTTTGAAGCGTTATGATTTGCAACAACATTTTCTTAACAGTCAGCACAGCATTTGTTTAGACAGTAGTCTGGCTAGATTAAGCTGAAATACATTTAACAGGGTTGAATCAATATGTTCTTTCGTCTTTTTGGGAAATCTTACATTTTCTTTCATCTTTGCTGCTCAGTAGTCATGTGTTCCTGTGACTCAGAGAGCCTGGGCCAAATAATGACATCCTTTTCCTCAATCTTTCTTCACATTTTATATATTTGATCAAGTTTGAGTGTCTGTTTTTCCCTTAGAAGAAGTAAATGCCTGTGCTGTTTTGGCAAATAATGAGTGTTAAACTGTTTGTGGGCGGTGGCTGTTTTTAACCATTGATGACTGGGCTGGATATACTCCAGAATTTTTATTCTCAGTATATTGGCAGTAATTTATGCAAGTTTATGTAGGTTGCTGTTATGCTTTATATACATCAGCATCCTTTGCACTCTGATAAATGTTTTGTAGTTTATTATGTTTTTAGTATCCATTTGGGGACAATGATGTTAAAGCTTTTTAGGCCATGAGTCTTTCCATTTCCACTGAACTTCGGAAGATTGCTTTCTGATACTGTGCACCACAAACCTGGAGTAAAAATCTAAAATGATGAAATAAAGTAATGACTTTTGATTAATCTCATCTATATTTCTTAAGACTCTGCCTCAACCTGCCTCAAAAAATATTTAGGCTGGATTAGGCCAAAGAGACTGATTCTGACACTAAAAATGGTGCTAAATTCTTCTCTTCTCATAAAGCTGACACTCCTAAATAAAGTGAGTGCTTTTGATCCCTGCAGTCTCTGATCACTTCCCCTGCATTCACATGCACATTGTAGCACACTACAGTCACCCTTCTGCCCTCAATTGAATTGTTTTTCTCCTGCTCCCAAGCAAACCTATTTAGAAGAAGTCATGCTTACGTAACAGCCGCAGAAAACAAAACAGCAAAAAAATAAATGGTTTCCACTCAGGAGGAGGGAGTGGGGGCTCCCTTTCAGAATATGACAACTATGTTTTAAATTATGTCAAATCCCGGGGCTCCCCTCCCTCTGCTGGAATGTCTCCTTTAGCACAGAGGAATTTTATTGCCCTACCTTCCCTCTGTTGTGGTGACACTGGGGGACAAAAACTGGCGCTGACCCCATGGGGGCATCTGCTAGGCTCACCACCTAGATGCACATTGTGACTCTGGCATAACTTCGCTGTTCGGCGTCACAAGTCATTGTGTCAGCGCGTTTTTGTGTCTCAGGACAAAGCGTGAAAGAGAGAAAAGAAAACAATCCAGATGCCTCCTCTGAAATGGCTCAGCCTGCCCCCTTTTATAATGCAAGTGGGGGTCAGCTTTGTTAGAACGCGGTGATAGTTGTCGTTTTAGAGAAACCAACTTTCAAAGCGCATACCTACATCTTGTAATTAGGTTAGCCGTTCCCCTTGCTGATGGCTCTGTCCTCTCATGGGATTACTCTCACTTGTCAAAATTATACAAATTAGATTCACGTGTTGGAGCTACGTATTCATTTTCTCTGACTGAGTACCAGTTGCCTAAACCCAAGGCACACACAGGCTGTCATTAAAGTCTTTTGAAACAATGGGTTCTCACCACCAATATAATTTTTGTTTTTCTTCCTTTCTTTTTGTAAATATCTGGCAGGATCTTTTGCTTCTCTGACAGAATAACTGCTCAAGAATGCAAGAACCCTGAAGAAATTGATGTCCAGATGTATTTCATTAGGTTAGAAAAGATAGTATTATTTTGCAAGGAGCATTTGCTAAATTTGATTGCATTTGGCTCCTTGTCCTGGAACATGTAGAAACACGTTGTATATGAATATGTATATATGTATATAAACATATATGTGTTTTTTTCATTATTGTTCTTTAATTTTTTCATTTTTTATTTCATTTTTTAAATTGAATCTATATCTTCTATGTACGAGTTTGCGTTGAAAAAAAAGAAAACAGGTTATAGTCATCACTCCACACAGATCTGATGTTTTTATCAACTGTAATTTTTTGTCTTTTCAGTGGACATTAAAGTGCTTCATGTATGTCATGTCTCCTTCCATTGCGCTTTATCGGATTTTGTTTTTATTGATACACCAACCTTTCCACCACCAAAGTAGCATCAAATGGGAAACTACCGGAAGGATTGTACTTAAAGCAGCAACAAGAATCTTTCATTTGGTCTTGTGTGTTGATGTAGGTCATATAGAGGCATCCGTATTAAGTTGAGACTTTCATAACCAGTTAAAAACTCCCTGTATTAGGTTTAAGTACATAATTTGGGTAAATGCACCTACTGTATATAACAAATGAAGACGTCAATGGGGGCAGGAAGGGAGTTTTATATGCACAGCATGAAAAACAGGAAATAGAGGGGGTCTTGCTGTTTGTTTAAGCCCATATAAAATGCAATGACACAGCAATCCTGTGAGACGTTTTACAGTGAAACAATTCAGGACTAATTTAATTTGTCCCACTCAAATTAAGAATTATATAAGTGCATATTTTGCTTGAGTGATACAATAAGTAAAAGTAGTTACCACACCTGTGTAAGCAGAAAACATCTGTTCTCTCAAGCGATATCCTCCACAATCTTCTTCCTAAAAACCTACATGAAAAAGAAACAATAAAATACTTTCCTGTAACCTCTTGAGTAAAATGTTTTATCACACTATCTGCATAGAAATCAAATTTCGCTGCAGAGGCCTGTTTTCAATTTGCCTTGTGAATCGCTGCCAATTGTAACAGCAACTTATTTGTCTGGATCTGTGGTTGTGAGGAAGACCAGATGTTGGACTCAGAGGCCAGATGAAGGAAGTCAGTGGGTCTGTGTCTCTGCGGCGGGTCAAGGATGAACAGGATGTTGATAAACTAACAAACCAGGAAACATTGACTCCTTAAAAAAAATCACTCATGCTCTTCTCCCAGCTGCCCTCATCTCTTCGTTACCCCCCCATCCATTAACTTTTAGTCTAGACCTCCTGGCCCCTCATTTATTTCCCCTCATCTTGCCTCTACCAAACCCTGTCACCTAGTTTCTCTCACCTTTCTCTGCCTGTCTGTTTGTTCCTCTCCCACGACGGTGAAACCATAAGGCGTGCAGATGTGTCGGTTAATTATGTTTCCTTATCTGCAGGCAGCTCACCTACAGTCCAGCCAAGCCCCTGAAGCAGACTCAATCATAGACACAAACAGGAGCAAACAACAACAACAGGAAGGCCTGTTATATTTCCTTTTTCTTATCAGGCCATGTAATGAATCCTGCAGCAGATTGAGAAGGCAGCTTCATGTCACCACACTGCAGAAGGAGAGGGAGAGAAGAAAAAGGGAAAAAGAGAGTGCGAGACGGAGGAAAGTGAACAGAATGTCTTGACACAGACCTCTAACGGCCCTTTCGTTGTGCCCAATAAAAGCAGTGATATATGATCATGTGTCTTCCATGTGTGATGCAGCCAAAGAGCACACAGCGTCTCGGGGCCCCATTAATCTGACAGTTCATTCTCTCGGAACAAACCACAGGGGTGAAACTGCAAACCTGGAAATGAATGTGTTACATTTTCTGGTTTTGGTTAGTGAACAGGTGAATCTGGGGCTTGTCGACTAAACATTACAAAAGATGACTTTTGTAGTAAGTCTAGACATCTGGCTTAAAATCCGGCCAGGTTTTGTAAAAAAAAAAGCAGTTTATAGATGTCTGCATTGACAAGAGCCTTGATTTAACATATATATAATATAATTCAATGTAATGTATATTTCAATGTAAAACATGTCCCAAGTACACATTAAACTTAAATGATGTTTGCAGCGATGTATTTCAGTTTCACGGAGCAAATCCAAAATCAAATCTCAATTCCTTTAAGAGCAAACTGAAAGTCAAGGTGTCCTTACTTTGCAGAAGTAAAGTTTGAGTGATTTTTTTTTTAATGGTTCTCTGACTTAACGGGTAACTAACTTTAATGTTTTGCTTTCTAAATTTTTAGAGTCAAGTCTATATTTTTGTGACTTACAATCCTCTGTAAATGCTGTGCGATTTTGGTCTGTCCCAAAGGACAGTTGACAGCCATCAGACAAATGTGCATTGATCTTTGGTCATCAGGGTATCTTTAAAAGCCCTCTATAAATAAAATGTATTATCATTATACACCATTCAGCCATAACATTATGACACCTGACAGGTGAAGTGAATAACACTAATTATCTGGTTATCATGGCACCTGTAAATGGGTGGGATATATAAATGGTCAGAGTGAGGATTTGAGCGACTTTGACAAG